CACCTCCCTGCCCGGCCGCCGGCCCCGGAGCCCCCGAGCCGGGGCCGTGGGGCACAAACTCTTCCCGGGGAAGATAAATTCCTTTTTTATACACGGTCGAGTGTCACTGTCCCCTGCTCCAGAGCCCCCTTCCTGGGGGATGCTGCTGCTTCCCCGGCTCCACGGGGAGGGCTGGGGCTTGTGGACCCCCCCTTGTCCCCCGGTTTTGGTCCCTTGGGGCAGTGGGGGGCCAGAAGCCCCCGGGCACGGCCCCTCCGTACCCTGGTCTGTGTTTACATGCCCAGCTCCCTGCAGTTTACAGCCCCGTTCCCTGCCTGCCAGGAGGCTCTGCCTGCCGCACAGGGACTGTCCCCAGGGGATCCCCTGGCTCCCAGGTGGGCAGCAGAGGCCTCGAGCAGCCCGAGGAGGGGCACGGTGGGGGGTCACAGGTGGCCTTTTTCTCTTAGTGGCTTCTCCAAGGGCTATTCTCCAGGTTGGGCTCTGTGCCTGCTGCTCCTTTCCGACACTAATTCCTGCCACGGGGTGGGTTTGGGATGTTTGGCTGTGGAATTACACACCTGCTCCTGGTCCATGTTGGTGCTGGGGGGGGGCAGATGGGGCTGCCCCAGCTCCCTCCTGCCCCAGGCTGGGCTGCCCCACCCTGGGGGTCTCACTGTGCCAAATCCCCTCTGGGCTCTGAGCCTGGCCTCGTCCCCTGGCCCGTGGTGGCTGTTCCCATGAGGCTCAGCTGGCCCCTGCCCCTCTCCTTTTGGGGACCTGTGGCCCCCCCGGGCTCTCCTGCGGTACGTGTGTGGCTGGGGGGGTTCGGGCTCTGTTGCTGCCGGCCGAGGCCGGGGCTGTAGCGTCCCTGGTAGAACCTCCCCCCCCAACCTCATCTTTTTTTTTTTTTTTTTTTTTTTTTTTTTTGGTAAGATGAATTTAGCATTGTTTAGTTATTAAAAATACTGGTTTTTAATATTGAGAATAAAGCATTTAATATCAACTGTCTGGGCTGCAGGTGTTTGCTGAGCCTTGGAGCCAGGTGAGTGCTGGGGATCCCCTGAGCTGCGGAGGAGCACGATCAGGGTTGGGGGTGACCCCGTTTGGGAATGAATCAGAGCCTGGGACAGTGTCGAGGTGAGAAGTACAGCCTTTATTGATATGATCCAGATGGGCTGATCCCTGCTGGGGGTCCATCCCCCAGGACTGCAGGGACCAGCTGTAAGGCCCAGGGCTGAGAGCCCCTCACTCCCCCCAGTTCTCCTTAGCAAAGCATCCTCCCACCCAAACCGGGAGCCACTCCTGTCCCCAGTCACAGGGGGAGCTCGGCACTGCTTTGGGACAGCAGCAGCAGCAGCAGCCCAGGCAGGGAGTGACAGGGGCCCACACCACCCCAGCTGTCCCCCAGGAAGGGAAGGGGCTGAGCTGGGCCCCGTGCTGGGAGAAGGGGGGACAGAGGGACAGCCCCAGTGATCCCCACGGCTCGGGGGGCAGCGGCTCCAGGCTGAGCCTGGCGTTGGCGGCAGCGCGGGGTGCCGGGGTCCGGCCGTGCCTGGGGGCCGTGGCCGGAGCCCCGGGTGCTCCCAGCCCTTAGGTGGGCGGCTTGCGGAACACGCTCCAGGCGTGGAAGCAGCGCGTGAAGGGCCAGGGCTCGTTGCCTTTCCGCACCAGCCGGAGCTTGCGGGGATGCGCGGGGTCCTTGGAGCGCATGTGCTGGATGTAGACCTGGGGCAGAGCGTTGCCGTGGGGGTCCTGACCCTCACCCGCCTCCAGGGGTGGTATTCCCCAGCCCAGAGCTCTGCACCGGCCACATCAGGGCCCCGAGGGGAGATGGAAATGCCCAAATCCTCCCCAGAACAGTCCCAGGATGGAGGGAGGTCTTACTTGGCACGCCTTGAGGCTCAGCTTGATCTCCACCTGGCTGGTCTGGGTGCCCACCCACATGTAGACCTGCAGAAAGGATCAGCAGCCGGGCTCAGCCCACAGAGCCACAGGGAGATCTGGGCCCAGGACAGCCTCATGCCCCCAGCTCACCTCCCGCCCGTTGTCCAGCAGCATGATGTCATCATCAGCCAGGTCATCCTGGCAGAAATCTGAGCACTTTTCTGACACGGAGAAATAACCTTTCTCATTGGAGCATCTGCAGGGAGATGAATTCATGAGACGTGAGTTTGTGAGGACTCGGCTGGTGCAGAGGGGAGGGATGTGAGGGATGTGATGGAGCAGCTGTTCTGGCTGGTTGGTTCCCAAGGGGAATGGGGCTCTGTGGGAGGAAGGGAAGCAGCACAGACTGGAGCAACTCCCTCCAGGCCAGTGCCCACCTGAAGAGCCGTGAGTGCTTCATGTAGTCGGCATCTTCATCGTAGGGCTTCTGGCCCCCAATGCCCACCCAGAAGAAGTTTTCGGGTTCTTCTCCCTCGTTGATGACCTGAAAAGGCAGGAACAGGGCTGAGTGTGGCCTGGGTGGTCGCCATCACCCAGGTAAGGTGAGCCCTGCTCACCTGTTTGCTGTAGGAGTCATCAAACATGTGGTTCATGATGTCCTCAGCCAGCTTGGCCTCGTCAGGGTCAGCGGCCCGGCCCACCCAGGTGTAGACAATGCCCTGGTTGTCCGTGCTCTCAAAGGGCACCTGGGGGACAGTGGAGTCAGGGCTGCCCAGGGGGGCACCCAGGCAGCCCAGAGGACGCTCAGCCACGAGCAGTACCTTGAGGATGAAGCAGAACT